GATTGGGATAATATAAGTTTTAACCATGGTAAGAGGATGGTGTCACTAGAATATCTATCTATGTAGGAAATTTCATTAATACGTACAAATTGCATATGTATAGATTAATAGTAAATGATTACATATTTATACACCAAAATTTAAGCCATTGTTTGGGCCACATTTTTCTTCAATTTTAGAAGAAATTGAGCCGTCGAAGGGCCTCACATGATATGACATTTTTGACTTGCTTCTCATTATTGGCTTTGGACAATGTGCACCAATGGTTAAAAATCTCATTTTCATTCTCAAAAAATGCACAGCAAATAAAGGCTAAATAAGATTTGAAATATAGTCAATTATAGAAAGGGCAAAAAAAATATTATTATAAGTATAGCGTGAATTTTCATGTAACTAGTTGCATGAAGTCGATCAAAAATGAAAAATCCTGAATGGAAAATGTAGCGTTCAATTCGATACAGCAATTAGCTTTGGAATGTAACGAAGGAAAGTGATCAAGTGCTTTCTAGAATCTTCTATCACAATTTCACATAGCAACCGGAAAAGAGTTTTATTTATTCATATAAAAATCAGAAAATCAAGCAGATAAATAATGTAGAAAATCCAATTTCATTTAATCCAATAACACAGGTAAATTCGAGTAAATTATCACAATCTAAATTCAGACAACTGGGCATTTAACCAGGGTAAAGATTTAACCATGGTTAGGGTTTTTGATCCCCAAACTCACCTATGTCTCTAATTCCTATAAATTGGGGAAATCCCAGCTCTGTAAATTTTTAAAGTATATTTTATCGAACAATTTAGAAGATTCCTTTCTGCACAAGGGTTTCTCAAATTTTGCAAGAATATAGTCTGTGTACAATTCTTGTACTCTGGGAGACTAGAAAGAAATTTTCTGTTCATTTTTGTTTTGCAGGCGTCCCGCAGATTCACATTGCTGCAAAGCAGGTGTTTTTTATTAATTTTTTTTTTGTCTTTATGATTTTCTGCAGGAACGTGAATACTTGTGTTTGGGAGTTCATTTCTACTTAGTCGTTGTTTTATCGTGTATCTATTTCAGGGTTTTTAGTTAAATTTATTTTGCACGTGTATCTTTCACAATTGCTTTGTTGAATTTTTGAACCTAGATGTCATTTTCAAATAGTCTGTACGTTTTGCCCTTTTCCCACCCTTTCTAGTGGAATATTTTTTGGTTCATGATTTTTTGTGTGTTAATATTATTATTTTCTTTCCCCAAAAAATGACGAGGTCTTTTGAAGCATTAGATGATTTGCAAATTTTGCCTGCAAGTCTTTTTCTTAAGGGTGGGTCCTGAGGGATAGGAATATAAGTTTTTCACTTGTATGATACTGAAAAAAAAAAAAAAAATTGCTATTTGTGGGTTGGTGCTGTTAAATCACCAATAAAATAGAAAAGGAAAGGATTCCTGTTTTCTTCAAGAGGAAAACATTACTGATTCCACTTGAAGCATTTTGTTGTTCAAAATTTTTGCTTGCCTCATATAAGAGGAAATGGATTAAGTGGATGCAGAAAGTCACATTTAGTTGGATGGATTTTGCCAATTAAGGTTTAGTAAGAAATAGTTATATCTTTTGTCGGATTATGTTATTGCCTTTAATGCTTCCGTTATTTCAGTTATGCTCATTTGAAATGTGTATCCATTACTGCTTTACGTGGTCGTTGAACTATGGTTGTTTATGAATGTACATGTCTCCTTTAGAAGTTCGGTAATCTAGTTTGTATATTGCTGTTTCTCTTTGGATGTGTGTGAAGACTAAATATGCTCGAGCATAATCGCCTGTATGTATCCTTCAGTATGTGTGCGTTATTACTTACCTATGCATGCTTACTTTTATGTAATATTGGACGTCTATTTGGGCTTCATTAATTCCTAAAGTGGTTTTTAATATAATAAATTATCTCTATAACTTCCATAAGCATGGTGGTGTGGATTTCTTTATATCTTGATCCAGGGCTTTTGCTTATACAGATCCACATGTTAATAATTTTAGTATATGGCTAGTGAGTTTGTTCATTTCTGAATGTCATAAATATTTCTACAGTAATGAGAGGAGTCTCCAATTTCTATAAAAGGAGTATTATATGCTGAATTATGCATCTTGCAACTTTCATGCCTATATGATTTTATTTTTAAAAAAATAAATAATGGTACAATAATTTGTTGTGCTGATTGTGCTATGTTTCAGTTAGCTAGTGTAAAATTGAAATGTTCGTGAAGAATATATGTGGCTTAGAAGTTTAAATACAGCCAATTTAATTTAGGTTAAGGGAAGATCAGTTATAATTTTTTCAGGTAACCTTCTAAAGTCAAGTGAAAAGGGTTTTAGGGTGCCTTTGATAGCCTCACCCTCAGTAAATGTATATACGTCACTTTCTTTTTTGAACTGCCTTATCAGTATTTGCAGAAGGTATTAAATAGTTTTTGATGATAAATTGAACATCAGAATAATAGGATCTCTGAATAAAAAAAGAGATGTTGCCATTTAAATTATTTGGCTATGTGATTTTTAGCTTGCATAACACTTGGATATAAGATGGAATCATTTTTCGTCTGTCTTTTAGCTGGAATAACTCTTGATTTTAAAACTTTTAGATGGTTCATGGAATACATCGAATAACTCTTGTTGGTTCGTCCACATTATTGCTATTGCTGCATCATTCATTTCTAGATTGTATGGGCTGATCCCGTGTGTATTATTTGCTTAACTACATTTTTTATTCTGGTGTACTAGGTTTGGACATTTCTAAAATGGAATGTAATAAAGATGACGCTATCAAGTGTAAAGGTATTGCCGAGAAGAAGTTAGAGAATGAGGACATAGCCGGAGCCAATAAATTTGCTTTAAAGGCTCAAAGTCTATTTCCAAATCTTGAGGGTCTTTCTGCGTTATTGGAGGTCATTAACCTCTATGTTGCCTCTCAGAAGAAAATAAATGGAGAAGTAGACTTGTATGGGATTTTCGGTCTGGATCCCTCTGTCGACGATGACACATTGCGTAAAAAATACCGAAAAATGGCTCTGGTCTTTCACCCTGATAAAAACAAGTCCACTGGGGCTGCTGGAGCATTCTTAATTCTTACTGAAGCCTTTAAAGTCCTGTCAGATAAGGACAAGAGATCAGCATATAATCTGAAGCTGAACTTAAGAGCTCCGAATCCTCCATTTCCAACTGACAGAAACGGTTTCTGTAATTTCACCAGCAGCTCCAGCTCTCAGAATGCTAGGAATATGGCGACCGATTCCAAGACCCAGCACATGCCAAATCAGTCAAAGACTTCAACTACTGCCACCAGTTCACATTTCAATCCTCCACTCAAACCAAAAAATTCAAAAGATGCCACTGGTGTCCAACATGTTCCCCGTCCAAAAAAAACAAAAAAAACTGCCGCCAGTCCTCGGTACGCTGCAACTCTACCGCGGCCAAGGAATATGAGAACTGCCACCAATGTCCACGACATTCCTGGTCGCAAGAAGACTTCCAAAACTGCCACCAATTCTACATTCGTTCGCACTCCATCCAAGCCAAGGAATTGGACAACTGCCCAGCATGCCCCTGCCAGCAATCTTCGTCCGATCCCCTGTCCTCCATCAGGACCTGAAACATTTTGGACATCATGCGCTAGGTGCAGGATGCAATATGAGTACCCAAAGATTTATCTCAACCAGCATCTTCTCTGCCCCTGCTGTCGGGAGGCTTTTTTTGCATTACAGAAGCCTGCCCCCCCACCTGGAAGCATTCATAGTTCACCTGGTTGTTGTGCCTTCCACCATCAGAAGCAAGGTATGTCTGCCTCATCTGGGGGTTCTGGAAGTGTGACAGCTTCAGATGCCAGAGCCTCACAGAGGGTCCAGTCAGTTTTTGATAGTGTCAAGAGAGGGTGTGAAGAGGCAGTAGCTATGGCGGGGAGTGAGGAGGCTCTACAGAAGAATAACATTGCCCCAGATACAACTGATGCTTCCTCAGCTTCTGAGAAGCCAATGAAGAAGAGGCATGAAGATGGACAGAACTGGAATGATGTCAAAGAAAGAAACCCATTGACAGAACGTAATATGGCCGCCCATAGAACCTCTCTCGAAATCTAAAGGGTAATTTGGAAGGATATGCCTGACTGTCAGAGAAGAACCTGGATACTCACTATCGGCTATTAATGTACCCTTTTTGGTATTGTTATTTAGTTTCTCTCACATTTTGGTACTGGAGACTGTTGAGAGGCGTAGGCTGTGAAGTTGATAGTGGCTGTTGAAAACCTTGATAATATGTTTTGTAGGGAGGATTGCATAGCACAAAATAGTGGCAGTGAGAAAAAAAAGAAGCTATAATTTTGTTGCTTAGAACATACATCGACAGTCGTTGAAAGCACATGTAGTAATGAAGCTTGTTTTGTCTGGTATGGTCTGTTTTCTTAGTCCACATATTCAAATGCATTATTTTGTGGAATCCTTACTCATAATCTGGTACATTTTATATCAGATAACCATATGCTTCTGAAGTGAAGGTTGATGGTCATTTTACGTAACAGAAATATATCTGCCTTGCAGCCTCCTTACAAATTGAGATTAATCTGTATGAATTTCGTCGATAAACTTTCAGACTGATGATGAATTTGCTCGTCTAATTTCAAGTAGAGAAAGGTAGTTATTATTTTCCTAGTAGACAGAACACTTCCCAAAGGCAGGAAAAGATTGCCGATGCGATGGCCGATACAGCCAACGCTTGGGGTTGTGCACTTCTGTAAACAGATATTCTTGGCCTTTTAATAACTGGTCATAAGTTTGGTACAGGAGGAGGGTTGTAATAAGGCGACATGAACTCTGATACGCGCTTAAATTTATGAGATGAATTAATAGACATTTTGTTGCATTGACTCCTGCTAGTGACATTTTTTTTTTTCGCAAATGATACAGTTGCTTTACATCTTTCAGTTTACCAGGAATGAATTGAAATTAAGCTAGACAAACATAGGCTTTGACACAATGGGTGACATAGCACTCACGATCGAGGTGTGGGTCCCCATGAATAAAATAATGCCGACCTCCCCCATGTGTGTGTTCTATGTCAACCGAAGTGTCATCCTCTATGGCTATGTAACATGGTCCTTGAATGAATAAGGAAAAATGATTGACGTATACGGCTCAAAAATTTGTTGAGAAGTATCCTACAAAGGTTTGAATAGATGAAATAAATAAATTTGCTTCTCCATATTTTACAGAATCCCAACTTTTCCATATTCAGAACCTCTTGAGTCTGATCAACTTATACTGATATTAGTGTCACAGTTTCAGACTCTAATAATAATTTCTTTCCAGGATATTGTTTTCAACCTTTTCTTTTTATTCTGAGTCTTGTCAGAATAGTTCTCTAATCTGGTTGTTCTTAGTTCTTTCAATAGCAGCCTTCGTCATCCGACCTATTTTCAGCAATCTGTTCTGCTTCAAATTCAACTGGGACTGGAGCAGATTCGTGTTAATGCAGGTCATCAGCCCACTCTTTCTTAGAACAGAGATGGTTAAACGTACTCTGAAACAAGTTTGGATTTGCTGCATTTTTCTTATTTAATGGTAAGAGAAGTACACTGATGGTAAGGTAGATATTATGATTTGGTTATTTCCATATTTGACTGACCAAATCAATTATTTTTTAGAAAAAATTACTTGTTTACTTCCTAACTAAATTTAGTTATACTAACGCTTTTAAGCTTGGCCAAACATCAACTTTGCTTGATGTGTAGCTATATGGTCATTGATGCCTTATATTTCTGACAAGGCAATGAATAATGGTGGAAGACTCTTTCAAAACTCATTAGGCAGATTGAAATAAGACAAATGTATAGCTAATCTTCTCATCAAGCTAGGGGGATATATGAATGCGAAGCCAAGAAAAAAGTTCCCTTGGACGAAAAATTCTGATTTTTGGACTTCATTCATGCCATATAATAGTTCCTCACATAGAACTTAAGAAAGTCTCATTTGATTTGAGCATGAGGACGATGGCATTTGGTAGCTTTTTAGTCCTACCTTAGCCGGTTCATTGTCTTTACTCTGAAGCGCCGAAAAGAAGGACATGCTTCTTACGTCCACTTTTTGCCAACAACCGGAACAAATGTAGCACTAAATATTTTTGTCTTCAGCCACCTATTTCTATCTGTCTATTTGGTTTCATGTTCTTTACTTTACCATAAGTGATTATTTTGTGAAGGATTCACATTTATTTCAGTGTTTGGAGATTATATCATTGTGTAAAACATTGATCAGGATAATCACATATTTTGATACATAATTTTAGCAATTGAGTTATGATGTTAATGCTGGTAGTTAGCTTTATCTGTTACGATGGTTGTATGAAATCCTCAAAATTGAAAGAATAGACATCCTTTGAGATCTGATGTATGAAAACAGAACGTTTTATGATTTATTTTGCAAACTATATGCTGCTAACTCAATTCTGCATATGGAGTACTAAAATTGGACAATGCTGTATGATTTTGCATGAGATGATGAAAATTGATCACATCTAACTTGAGGATCACACATACCAGATAATTTTTGTGGAATGAAAAGATGCATTCGGTGATGACAGCTCATGTGTTTCGTGGGATGCCTTTGGTGATGACAACTCATGTGTTTCGTGGGATGGATTTGATGATGACAGCTCAAAAATGTGTGTCGTGTGGGTCCACTCTCGTTAACCATGGTTGGCTTCAGTATATGGAACTGTTCAAGATAGCTTGTGACTGGTGCAAAATTTTGATAAATCCATACAGATTTCATATAATCTGTATTTATAGTATCCTCATCAATGCCATTAAAAAGGAGTGACTTGAAAAATGAGCAAATGAGAAAATATAGTAAATAAGCTTGTCAATTATGATAGCAGAACTTGTTTATTGAAACATAAGACCAATAAAACATCATTAAATTTTGAATATTTGTCTAAACTAGAAATAAATGACAAAAAAAGTCATAAAAACATGACAGAAAAATTAAATCCATTTAATGCAAAGGCTCAATTACAGACATCAATTCAAATTCAGAAGTTTGGCCAACTAAATATGATCAAAATTTAACCATGGTTAGGGTTTAACTTTAAATTGCTCCAAGTAATCCGATAAATAAAAGTGGCTCTTCAACTGCAAAAACAATTGGTGGCGTTTTCATTTACTCCTTCCTCTCTGCAGTTTTCTTTCACAATTTTGTATCAAACAAATATTTGGGTTTCCTAAATTTAACAAGAAGAATTTGATCTGCTAAAAATATTTGGACCCGGATGATGAAAGAAAGTTCTGAAATCAATATTTCAGCAATTTTTTTCCGCAACAAATTCATCAAACGGCAACTAAAATTTTTATATTATTATTAATCGAGGTAAATTATCTATATTTTGATGGTTTTCTGTCTGTATCTACATGTACATGTATCTCCATTATCTCCACTGCCGTCTGATCATTTACACATTTCCATATATTTATGTACTCATAGAACTCAGAATGTCGATTGCATGTTTATTGATGATATGCGAATTCAGGGTTTTAGTCAAATTGCTACATTTGGTGATTTTGCATGTGCATTTGATCGTTTATAAATCTTTATTTTATGGGTTTCTTGATTTTACATACCAATTCAAGTGGTTTGAACATAATCATGCCTTTTCCTTTTAGAGAAAATTGTGCTCTCACTGAAGTGTTCACTCACAAATATCAGGTATGGATCAGTGGGTAATGCCTGAATTATTTGATGGGTGTTCCTTTTGCTTGGAGCTCTTTTTAAGAACAGAAAACATGGCCGAGCTTCATTAGCAGCATTTGGTGAATCGGAACTTTTGCTTGCATTGTAAAAGGATAAAAGAATTAAGTTTCTGCTGTCACTGAAATTGTAATTTTTCGTGAAAACTTGAAGGGAATTTAAATGATGAATACGGTGCATCAATTGATTATTAATTGTTTGCAGATACAATTAGTTATTGTGAAGGGTGCTGATATCTGTTTGAATTATTTAAAGGATATATCCTTTTGCTCCCTATGTAAGTGGATATATCTTTGAGCAGAGCTTTAATAGCCGGTTTGGAATGTGGTTTCATTGTTCAATAATTTCGTTTGTTGATGTCTTTATCTGTATTTACATAATGTCATTAAGGTGTTTCTACTTAATGAATCCTGTTCAAAATTAATTATCAAAACAGGCAACTAACTAAGTCGTGGTTTTATAGAACTCAAAAATGAGATATTCTGTCTATGTTTTTCTTCTTTTTCTTCATTCTTTTTACCTAAAATTTAGTATCAATGCAGAAAGACACATTCAGAATTGTATGGAACTAGTGCAGAAAGACACATTCAACTTTATGGATCCTACCAATTCGGATTTCTGTCATATTTTGTCGGATTATGTTTTCGGCTTACAGCTTTTTAATGCTTCCGTTATTTTCAGTTACACTCAATAGATAACAAATATAGATGGTCTTAAATTGTGGCTGCATAACTGCGGCTCTCAGAATTTCAGTAATGTAGTTTGTCGGTTGCTGTTTATCTTCTGATATCTGCATAGCTGTTGCATCCTTTGTAATGACAATGTGCGAGTGTGCGCGTGCTTCTATTTTTATATATATTTCACTGACTTTTTAATTTGTCTAATTTCTGTTAAGCATGGCAGACTCAGGCTTCGCTTTTTCCCCCCCTTTTTTGGTTCCTTCAGTTTGGACCATGACATGTAGACTTCTCTAGTAATGAGTTGAAACATGGAGTTTGTTAAAACATAAAAGTGAAATTCTATGTAAAATGATGATTATATCCTATGCTTGACATATAAATTTTTGTTGGCTTCTATTATATTGAAATGTGTTTGAAGAATATTGATATCTTAGAAAAACAATGATTCACCAGCTTTAGGATGCCTTTTCATAAGCCCTCATTCCTCTTAACTGGATTCTGTACTTTGTCCACTTCTTTTAGCTACCTTTTTCAGTATTGAATATCAAATCTTTTACGTTTAAGAGTATAGAATCTTTAAATAAAAGTGACATTCAATTGCATAATTGGAATTGGAATTTTGGTCATCAAAATTATTTGAATACCTGATGGTTGGCTTAATTAACATTTTAAAGAGTGGCTTCTTCGAGATTTTTTTTTTGTCTGTCTTACTGTTTCCTTTCTAGTCTGAATTCATTATTTGAAAGATTAGTGCATTCCCATCATATACATCCTTTATCATTATTTCTAGCTAATGTGGATTGTTCCTATCTCCTTAGCAATATACTTTGGCTAAACTATGTTTCTCACGTTGAACTTAATTCTTTTGGTGTGCTAGGTTTACATAAGTAAATCTGATAATTTCTAAATGGAATTCAATAAAGATGAGGCCACTAGGCTTAAAGCTATTGCAGAGAAGAAACTAAAAGAGGAGGACATTGCTGGGGCCAAAATATATGCTTTAAAGGCGGACAATCTATTTCCTTCACTAGATGATCTCCCTCAGCTCCTCAATGTCATTAATTTCTATGATGGCTATGAGAAGAAAATAAATGGAGAAGTAAACTGGTATGGGATTCTTCGTGTGGACCCCTTGGCTGACATGGACACCTTGCGTAAAGCACACAAAAGAATAGCTGTGGCTCTACACCCTGATAAAAACAAGTCCTTTGGGGCTGAAGAAGCATTCAAACTTCTTTCTCAAGCACAAAGTGTGCTGTTTTATAGGGGAAACAAACTAGTGTATGATATGAAGCTAAATTTCAGAGCTCACCAGAGGGTTTCAGTTGGAAATCCTCCATTTCCAGCGGATAAATGTAGTTTTGGGAATTTCACTGGCTGCTCCAGATCTGCAACAAATTTGACAGCTTCTGGCAAGGCCCAGAATGTGCCAATGTGCCCAAGGAATCCGGCCACCACCACAGGTTCACATTACCATCCTCCTCCACTCTGGCCAAGGAATCAGTCAACTGCCTTTGGTGGCCAACACATTCCCACTCTTCAAATGACTCCAGAAACAGCCACCTGTTCTCAGTATGTTCTTGCTCCACCATGGCCAAGGGATCCAACTGCTGCCAGTGCTTCCTGGCACATGACTCCAGAGGCAGCCGCTATTTTTTATCATGTTCACGTTCATAATCATCAAAATCCTCCTACAATTGCCACCAGTTTTCAGGGCTTTCCCACCCCATTTATTCCAGAGAACAAGACACCCACCAGGCATCATCAGCACTCTCCTTTCAGCAATTCTCTGCTGATCCCAAGTCCTCCTGCATCAAGACCTGAAACTTTTTGGACGTTATGTAATAAGTGCCAGATGCTATATGAGTTCCTGAAGATTTATCTTGACCAAACTCTATTGTGCCCCTACTGTCGAGAACCCTTTTTGGCGAAAGAGGAGTCTGCTCCTGCTGCTGGAAGCATTCGCGGTTTACTTTTTCCTTGGTCCTTCCACCATCAGAAGCCAGGTTCATCAGCTGCAGCAGGGGGTTCCAAAAGTGCGACAGCTTTAGCTACGGGAACTACTAAAACTGCACAGAGGGTCCAGTCAGCTGGTGTGAGTCTCAAGAGAGGGCGCAAAGAGGCAGCAGCCCATACAATTTCATTTGGAAATCTGAAGGGCAGTTTTGGAGCCGAAAGAGTTACTTTAGCTAGTGACCAGTCAACAAGCATAAAGGAGTCGTCTCAATCTGAACTTCGTATCATGCTGATGGGAAAGGCCAAGAGAGAAATCCGTGAGAAGCTAAAACAGTGGAACCTTGCTCCTGAATTAGAATCTACTAATAAGAAGGGAATAAACATGGAAAAGGAGAAGCCATCAGCTATTAAAGATCTGAAGAATAATAAAAATAAAGGTGAGCCTCAAGATTCTTCCATTTGTGATGGCACTGATGTGCTAAATGCAAGTGTTAAAGAAACCGTGTTGATGAGTGTGCCAGATGCAAATTTTTGCAATTTTGACAAGGACAGAGTAGAGGCATCTTTTTCAAAAAAACAAGTATGGGCTCTGTATGATGATGATGATGGCATGCCACGTTACTATGCACTGATCCATGGTGTGATGTCTAGGAATCCATTCAAGATGCAGATTAGTTGGCTGAACTCAAACAGCACTGCTGAATTTGGCCCCCTCAACTGGTTATCTTCTGGCTTTGTCAAAACAAGCGGTTATTTCAGAGTTGGAAAACCTGAAGTTAATAAGAGCTTAAGATCTTTCTCGCATCAGGTTAAGTGGAGAAAAGCTGCTAGAGGGGCAATAGAGATTTATCCAGCGAAGGGAGACGTTTGGGCTTTGTATAGGAACTGGTCCGTGGATTGGAATGAACTCACCGAAGATGAGGTGATACATAAATATGACATGGTCGTAATTGTTGAAGATTACAAGGAAGACAAAGGTGTTGTCGTCTCTCCTTTGATAAAAGTTGCTGGCTTCACATCGGTATTTTGCCAGCATTTGGACTCAATAGAAATCCATACAATTCCAAGAGAGGAGATGTTTCGATTCTCTCATCAGGTCCCATCCTACATGCTAACTGTTCGAGAAGCTCCAAATGTTCCAAAGGATAGCTGGGATCTGGATCCTGCTTCTCTCCCTATGGAACTTCTTCAACACTTGACAGTATCCGAGGAGACAGATGGAAGCAGTGAGGCAAAGAAAGAATCAAACAGAAACTGCAACTCCAATACAGATGGCGGAGGAGCTTCTGAAAATGTCAAGCATGGTTCCCCAGAACCATTTTTCAAATATTCAAGAAGAGGCAAGAAAATGAAGATGGCCGGAGATGCTGATCATGTTTAGTAGTCCTTACTCGAGCTTCCAATCGTTTATTTTTGTCTTACTATAATTAAGATAGTTTGAATCCGGTTTGTATATTTAGAAAAGATACACAGTTGATTATAGCAGACAGATACACCTTTTTCGTTTACCAGAAAAAAATTGTCTTCATTGTGGATGTTTTTATAATATTCGATGAAACAATTATATTTTCATAAGATTTTTCTCATGGTTGTTAATACGGTTTGCATGCAATGGTTGCAAAAGATTTGATTTCATCAAATATTTTGAACAATATTTTGAACGAGTGGCTAGAAAAGATTTATGCTGCCGACTCCAAATTAGTTCTTGGATCTAAGTTAATAAGATTTACTTGATTGTTTAGTAATCTGCTAGTTTCTTGTTTGAATGTGACACACCCCGTCCCGTGTAACACCACTAGATCCGGACGTAGCATGCGCCGATGATAGATACCAACTAAAAGTCGGACCCACCATCAAGGCTACTACAAATACAATATATATCACTTTTTATACATCATTTTTCTAACAAAATTTCGACATTATCTTCACTGTAAATAGGACTAACCAACCTGTGATCAATTTCACACAAATCCTAAACTATAGCACAGTACAATAAAGATAAGTCGAAATTTCCATTTTTACCAAGAAATGCAATGAAATATACATATGGATACATAATACATAGTGAGCCCCATAACTATCTACAAGTGATGCAAAATCACATCTAGACATGAACATGCGTTCCAAAACACTAACTACATGTTCTATGAAGTGAGTCATATTAGCAAACTCTGTCGTGTGGCTCTGACTCCAAAATCAAGGCTCAACTCCAAAAGATACCCAGATTCTCAACTGCTGCTTGATAAGGAAAAAGTGGAAAAATATATGAGTTGATAGCTCAGTGAGTGGAGAAATTCAAAATAAATGTACCTTTTCCATTTATATAATTTTATTGAAAATCAACTTCATATCATTTGATAATTCACAAGCCACCATTCTATAATTATAGTAAAAAAGTGAAATATTCACATAAGATCATAAAAATATCATCTTAAAATCATGATATAACATCAGCTGATAACCATGCTATAATCTCATCACATCAAATGTGCTGAAAAATCCACCAAAAATGTACCCTCTGATTGAAATATGTAATCCGCCTCTCAGATAAAAAACTTTCGCCACGGGCCTTTGGCCTCCTTCGTGAACGAAAGCCGATCTCAAAAACTTCTCATAATCAATTCTAGAACACGATCAAGGCGCCTCTGTGAACTATATGTACACGATCAAGACCAATGTCAGGTCAAGACCCTCCGTGTAGGATAGAATAAGGCCAACACCCCTCTGTGAACTAGAAGAAGTATATAATCATGGGTACTTTTCTGGTCGATCTCAATATTGCATGTCTCACATACCAAACAAATCTCAATATGTCATAAATAATCTTTGATATTCCACATATGTCATAATAAAAGAGATTTCCATAATAATCATATAATTCAAACACATAATTGCACATACTTTGACAATATACTTAATTTATAAATATTTTAAAAATATTTATATTTTTCATCTCACAGAACTATGTACTCCAAAATCAATTCGATTGGTACGCTATCCCGATATCCGTATCGCCGCCTGAAATATAATATAATTTTTAAATCAACAATTAACTAATTTAAATAATTTCAATAATTAAATAGGAATATCCAAACATAATTATTTCATGTTTAGGCAATTTCTAAAGTCTCTTTAATTAGTAAACCTAATTTTTCTTTCATTTTACTCAATTTCATAGTTTATTATACTTAACCCCTTCAATAAAATTGAATTTTATCTAATAACTTAACAACTATAAAATCAAACATAACACTTCAATAAGTAACTTTTACTTACCTTTCAAAATTGAGAAATCCAAGTCTAATAGGATAGGGCACTTAATTCCTAACACGTTGGCGAATTTTCCCTTTTTTTCTTCTATTTCCTTTTTTTTTCCTCTCTCTCCTTTTTTTTCCTCTCTCTCTCTCTTTTTCCTTTCTCTAGTCCGTTTTCTGTTTCGTGTGTTGTGTGTATTATATGTTATTTACTTTGTTTTTGGTGGAATTAAATCAATCCAATTCCATCGCCTCATATACTATATTTTATTATTTTTTTGTTTGACTTTTTTATTTTATTTTATTATTATTATTTTTTATAACTTAATGTATTACAGAATGCAACTGTATCTCATTCTTACTTTTATTGTGTATTTCTTTTTCTACTTAAACAGCTATTCCTAGGTAACATATGGAGGCATGCTCAACGTGTGCGACTCCGAAGGAAAGTAAGGTTTTCAACTATGGACATATGAATGATGCACAAGGAGCCTGCCATTGAGAGGAACCATAGGCATAAATGTGGAAGAATAGTTGCAAAGTACTCACAATTTGTAATGAGTAACTATAGATATAAACGTGGAAGAATAAGTGCAAAGTACCCCTCAATTTGGAATGTCAAGAAACCATAGGCATAAATGTGGAAGAATAGGTGCAAAGTACCCCTCAATTTGGAATGTCAAGAAACCGTAGGCATAAATGTGGAAGAATAGTTGCAAAGTGAATAGTTGCAAAATACTCTCAATTTGCAATTGGAAACTATTGATATAAATGTGGAAGAATAGGTGCAAAGTACTCTCAAGTTGGAATGTCATGCAATGCGAACAAACATGTGTTGACAAGACATGTATTTAATTGTTTGTACTTTTTCTGTCGAATCAAAAGCATGAAACAAAACAATTTAGTAAAATGTACACTACTTATTTACAACTTTTTTTCCTTTTAAATTTATTGAGTTCGAGCCGCTTGACCCAACTTTATAACACTATCTCTTCTATACCCTAAAATTTAGGCATAAATGTGAAAACAAGCCCAACTCGAGGGCCACCAGTTCTATGACTATATACGCAGCTGGTTAAATTTCTATGGCCCTGATAAAGGTTCGTGGGCAGAGCTCTAAAGGGTCAAGATCTTGTGGATCTTATTCCTTTTCGTATAGTGGGCCAATGAGGGATAAATTGTAGAAAACTGAAGATGCAGGGAGCAATACGCAGCAAACAGTAACTTTACGGACTAATCTACAGTACACTAAAATTATAGGACCCAGTTTGGAGTATATTTGAATCAATCAGATAGTTTGGGATTGGTTTGAACATTCTAGAAAATGAGGGAGGAAGTTAAAGAGCCCAAAATTCAGGAACCCGTGTGCAGAGTTTCAGTAAATTGTACTGACATTGAAAACATAGAAAATGCGGGGTCTAAGATAGAAAATTTTGATAAACTGAAGGCTACTTCGCAAATTTTATAAAAAGGCTTGTTTGAAAAATAGGATAAAATAAACTTTAAGAGTCAATCCTTCAAATTGCTAGATCAAGGGTTAGATCCCTAAATGGTCACTAAAATTTTCTTAAAGTTCCCATAAGGTCATTGAACACTGAAAACACAGAGTTAGGAGATAGATCTTTGAATAGGAAAAAGAGCGGATTTGTAGGGTTCCAAATGAATAGTCATTTATCTTTGAATTTGGTACCATATCCATCATTGTGTAAATGATGCTCGCAAAATTGAAAATATTTGACGACGTGTCTAACAGTATGACTTACATGGCACGTAATTGTAATAAAAAGGTGTCAATTATAAAGGTGCATTCTAAGTGGACAAGTTGCTGTTGCCCAAACAAACATTGCCCGAATTTGTTGAGTATCAACAAAATCCAACACATATCATAACAAATAGAATTTAATCAAACTATAATTAAGCATGGCAACCATAAATAATTTATCAGTTATTCAATCATCCATCATAATGCATGAGAATTGGTAGATTTTTCACTGGTACTAAGTTTTTAGGTTAAGCAGATTATTTATTTATTTATTTATTTTTTTAAGAAAATTGAAGTTTGATGGATCAATTGATAAGTATAATGTCAGACTTGGAGCCAACGGTTAGATCCCCCCCACCCCCAAAAAAAAGAAAAAAAGAGTTAAGGAGGTTTCACTTCCTCAGGTACATATTCACAGGTTACGAGGATAGCTTCTATTTTATTCGAATACTAATTGGCAATGCATCAATGCACAATCTCAAATTTCAACAAGTGGAGGTTAAGACAACTTTTCCAAATGGTGAGCTTCAAGAAAATATATACGAAAATACCCCGGTTTCGGTTCATATCTGATTCGGGAGGTTCGATTCTGATTAAAATGCTGACCTCTAATCTGTTTTCGCCTATGATCGTGAGTGCATCCTCATCATTCAACGTAGTTCAAATTCAAGAAGTCACAACAGAAAAATTTATTGAGAAGTATCTTACAAAGGTTTGAATAATTGAAATAAATAAATTTGGTTCTCTATATTTTTCAGAACGAAAATTTTCCAAATTCAGAACCTCCTGAGTCTGTTCTATTGAACCTATACTGATATTACAGTTTCAGACACTACCATTCTTTTCTTTCCAGGATATCATTTTCACCCTTTTCTTTTTATTCTCTATCCTGTCAGAGTAGTTCTCTAATCTGGTTGTTCTTAGTTCTTTCAATAGCATCCTTTGTCATCCGACCAATTTTCTGCATTCTGTTCGGCCTCAAATTCAACTGAGACTGGGGCAGATTCGTGTTAACACAGGTCATCACCCCACTCTTGTTTAGAACAGAAATGGTTAAACGTACTCTAAAACATGTTTGGATTTGCTGCAATTTTTTTTATTTACAAGAAACGTGATTCAAGCATGAGTACGAACAACCGAAACAAACGTAGCACTAAATTGTTTTGTCTTCACTCACCTATGTGTTTATTTGGTTTCATCTTCTTTATATTATCAGAAGTGATTATTTTGTGAAGTATTCACATTTATTTCAGTTTCTGGAGATTACAACGTGTAAAACATTGATCAGGATCATCACATATTAAGATACTTATTCATAGCTAGAACATTTTATCCTTAATAATAAAGTTTTAGCATATTTAGCAATTGAATTATGATGTTGATATTGATAGTTAGCTTTATTTGATCCCAAGGTTGTCTGAAATCCTCAAAAATGAAAGTGAAGAACATCCTTTGACATATGATGTATGAAAACAAAATGTTTTATGA